GCGAGCATTCTAATTGTTTTCGTGGCTACTTTGAATGCTCTTTCAACAAATAATCCATTTAATGGTTAAATTTTACAATTGGGACCCTTCTTTTGCCTCTAAAAGCTCACTTTAGAATTATAGATTCCTCCATCACGATACTATCGATATGCGGGTGCTGCCATCTTTCTTTCACTGTCGTTCCTAATGCCTACAAACAGCAGCGCACTCCCATTGCAGAGCAACTGCTATTAACGAATGCACTATAAACTGTTACCAGTTGATGATGCTCATGCTGAGATCATCATATAGGATGAATAATCCTCTGGTAAAATAGTTACTTAAATAATAAATAAGTATTTTACCTATGAAAAAACGAACAATAAATCCGACTTTTAAATAAGGATTTAACAGCATGTTTTTTAATTTTTGGAACTTAACCCACTTTTCGCACTAGTTCTTTTGTTTCATATAACACGGATTCGCATAACACAGCAATTTTTTGGAACATAACTCCCATGTTATATGGGGGTTATCTCTATTTTTACTTCGAAGATTTCATGAGGGTCAAAAAATAAGCAGTGTGTTTGTTGCTTACTCAATTTAAAAAATTCAAAATGTTTATTTTATTCAAAAAAAACAAGTTTATTTTTTGAATGGTTTGAATGTACAGTACAAGTACCTCTAACCTGAAGATGGATAGCTATTGAGAAGATTTGCAAATGTTTAATAAATTTATTCTTATTTTTTCCCCCCATAGAGAAATTTAATGTAAATTATTTGCTTTTAGGATTACTTTATAATCATTCTATGCTTATTAATTAATAGATCAGTTAATTATTTAATACTGTAGTAGCATTGCATTAATTTGGGAAATTTTGGTACAGTTAAAATATTTATCAGATATTTTTTTGTAATTTGTCTTTATTATTAATTTGCTGGATCTACTTTTTTTCATAAAAAATTCCTGATTTAGTTACGAATTACATTTTTAATATTTTATAAATCAAAATGTTCACAAAATTTATAAGATGTACTTAAAAACTTACGAAACAACAGCAGGAAAAAGTAATTCTTTTGTTTTGATTTCCTTATGGCTGAATCTCCCTAAATTTTTAAACTGATTAAATTGCAATTTTTGATATATGTATACATTTTAATTTTACGTGATTCTCTTCATTTTTATTTAATTCGCAAAGTTATTTTCTCAATTCACAGTTTACCTTTTTCTTTAAAACATACATATTAAACTCTTCCGATAAAGTATATCTTATGTTTAAACTTATTAACTTTGGGAACACAAAGCACTCTTTGAAGATCTCATAGTCACCATCTGTCACTTTTTTTTTATCATTTGTTTGTCTGCTTCTACAAAAAATCAAGATAAAAATTTCACTCAGATTATGAATTTAAAGATATTATTATATATTCCAGTTGCATTAAACAATCTTATTATGTTTTAGGAATTATTATCCTGATAGAAATACAAATATGAAACATTACATGTAAGTAGAAATTTTATAAAACCTATATTTGCATGTAATAGGAAAAAGTTCCAATGGAAATACATTTTATACTTAAAAATCTCGTAAATCTATGTAGTCCATATCCCGATGGCGTTTATACTCAGGAAGAACTTCCGGAAGTAGAAGAGTCATACAGTATGACTTATCGAACGTCCACTTCAACTAACGGTCACGGAGATAACGAATCTCCAGATTGTCAGAATGTAGGAAAAAATGCACATTTGATCAGTCGTACCACATCTCAAACAAAGACACAACAAGTAAATATTCTGTTTTATCATAAGACATTAAAATTTGCCATTATGCCTTTTGGTTTACATTTGGTTTTTCTTTTTTATTGGGTCAATATACTTTTTCTGTATTATATTGTTTACTAATTATGCTGTCCTAATTAAGTTAATAATATTTCATTTACAAATATCTCCTGTATTTCTGATAATTATTTGAAAAAATAAACTTTTTATAATTTATTATTAACTGAATACTAACACGTTTTTTTTTTTTTTACAATTTTATATTTAAAAATCAGTTTTAATTCACAAAACATTATCTAAATAAACCATCATTATAATTTGAATGTAAGAGTACAGTTTTTTAATTGTTTTTAAATATTAGAATATTAATTCCATAATTACAATGCGAAAATAGTAAATGATTTTTAAATTAAAACTGATTTTATTTACAAAATAAAATATTCTAATGTAATAATTTGTAACATTTAATCAGAATATTCAGTTTGTTTCGATAAATAATATGTTAAACATTTAATTATATATGTGTAAATTTTTTAATAGGTGAAAACTGTAACAAAAGTAGTGAGTACTCGTAAAGTTCAGCACATAGGACCAGACGGCCAACCAATGGAATATTCTCCGTATGATAATGCTCCGGTGAATTCTGAGGAATATGAAAATTATCCATATTCTACAAGTGACATTCCATCAAATTACGATACTTATGATTCAGGTAGTTTAAAGACTGCTTACTTTTGAGAGTATTAACATTATAAAAAATAATATAATTTTTAATTTATGAATATTTTAAGAAAACTAAATAAGTGAAAAAATATGAAAGTTTTGATGTATAGTTTTTATACAGACAAAAATATTTTGAGCTTTAATGATCTAATAATTTTTACCAGTTGTAATGTACAGTACACGATGGTCTGTAAGTCGTGCATCACAGGATTATTCTCACAGGTCTCGTAGGTGTTCAAATTGACCCCCCTCAATACAGTCTTGTATTCTGGCATGATAAAATGATTTGACATGCCTAAGTGTCTCAGGAGTGATATTATGACATTATCTGGTTATCGCATCCTTTAATTCAGTGAAAGTATGTGGGCAATTTAGGTACACCGCAGATTTTAAACGCCACAGGAAAAAATCAACGAGGGATAAGATCCAGGGAGCAGGGTGGCCATTTCACAGGACCTCTTTGGCCAATCCATCTATTGGGAAACTTCTTGTCAAGGTACTCATGCACTCTCAGAGCAAAATATGCTGGAGTGCTGTCCTGTTGAATGAACATGGTTCAGCATCGTTGTAATGGAACATCCTCCAAGCAGTCCTTCAGGTAGTCATCTAACATCTGTATGTATGTTTCACTGGTGACATTCTCACTAAAGAAATGTAGACGGATTATTTTGTTCTCCCATATTCCAACATGCAGAACAACCCCCAGATGGGAGTTGTTCTGGAGATGTGGCCCTCTTCATTCCATCTAGAATTGCTTTCCAACCAGTAGCACACATTATTATGCCTGTTAACATGGCCACTCAAATGGAATGATGCCTCGTCACTGAAAAACGTTAATGCATTGGCATATGTTTGCATTCATTCACAAAATTCCGTCTGACTATCAGTGTCATCAACATATAGTTCTTGAATCAGCCGAATTTTATATGGGTGAAACCAATGCTGATGCATCATGCACAATACTGATGTTTTGCTTAATCCTGCTTCTTGACTCTTATTTTCTGATTGATTTCTCAGGGCTGCTAAGAATCTTTGTCAAAACTATCATGGACACCATCTTTTCAGTTGCCCAGTTCACATACAATCAGCAACAGTTCCAGTCTCTTTCAAATGGTTGATCAGGCATCCAACAGTAGTGTGATTTACATGGATGCTGCCAGTTGAACTCGGTGGCCACAGAGCAGTGTGTTGCACCAGGCACTCCAAACATGAACACTAGCTGTATTCATTTCTTCAATGTTAATTTGTCACCCGTCATTCAATATGAAACAAAAAAAAGCAACTTAAGTATAGTTAAAAGTTAAACCCCTATGGTGCATGACTTAAGGACCACCCTGTATGGAATTATTCAAAAAGAACTCCCTGGTTTCAAAAAATTATTCTGTTTATTGAAAACTAATACTAACAAACAGTATGAGGTTATAAGATACATTTCTAGAAAAACTCAGTCTTTTACTTTCCTGGCTGTTATATGTAACAGAGGAAAGGTATGGCGATCTGGCAAAAACGACCACCCCAGATTTTTATATTTTTGGACTTAGGACACCTTGAAACATTGAGAAATGCAGAAAAATTTGAAGGTAATTTCTGTATGTATTGATGCTTGTGTGTAGGGGCACGATTTTGTTCATTCTTTGAAGCTTAACTTCTGTGCTTTTTGCCGAAAATTTCTGAAATTTTTCAGGAAGGTTTGTTTATTAGGGAAATTGATGCTTTTAAATTTTGGTGGTTAAAGGTCAGAGGGATAGGGAGATAATTGGGATCATGTATATCTCCAGTAGGGTTGGACTTAATGATGATTTTATTTGTTATTAGCATTTACAATTTCTTATAAAACTCATCCCTACTCCAAAATTAAGCTTTTTTTGCCATTTTATAATAGTTAAAAATATAAAAAGGTTTTAATAAAATATGAGAACAGACGGTGCTACCAAAATTTTAAATGCTACTGGGAAAATTGAGCAACTCATTGCTGGTTTATTTTGAGACAGATATTCTGTATGTGGCTTCCTTGCCTCACATGACAGATATTGATGCAATATTCTAATTCACTCCAAATACAGCACAGCAGTTCTGAGTCAATGGTGGCAGTTGCAGTGTTAATTCTTTTCTCTGTTAGTGGCTCTTTCTGAAATTTCATCTTTCAATAATCATCATATACTTGTAACCAGGGCTGTGGAGTAGGAGTCGGGAGGAATTTCTGGCCAGAGGAGTTGGAGTTGGAAAAAATGTGTCGACTCCTATTCTGGCATTTTTAAATTTAATTTAGTTTTTAAGTTTAAATGAAGGAAAATTTATTTTATATTTAATAATTTTTTAAAAATATTTTTGTATTTTGTTATAATTCATTTATTTTAAATACAAAATGCATCAATTTAATTTATTAAATATGTAGTATTCTTTGTAGTATTTGTGTTTAGTAGTTAAATTATTTTGACCCAATTGAATTTGAATATTTTTGAATCAATCCTTTATTATCCCTGCTCTAAATAAGTTCTCTATTTTTCTGAATGAGCCATACTAATGATCAGAGTATATATTTTTCTTTTCTGAACAAAGGGCTGAAGTAGCTAGATCACACACTTTTTAGTTGGACTAACTTTTCTGGAATGGTGAAATTGAAATGCAAAAGCTGTAAATAAAGATATGTAGATGTAGAATTTTATTGCTCCCCTTTTTCCTCTTATTAAATATTTGTTAATAATTAATTTTTTATACAAATAAATATTAATGTAAGTTAAATATTAAAAATACTAACTATAAAATTATTTGGGTAAATGCCCGGGGCTTCTTTTAGAGTTCAGAGTAGGGTAAGAGTAGTGCTATGAGCACCTCTGCCCCTCATAAAATGACTTGATATTTAATTTTGCCGGAGTCGGAGTTGATGTACTAAAATTATCAGGAGTCGGAGTAGAGTGTTTTTTTACCGACTCCACAGCCCTGCTTGTAACAGACTTTATTTTGTGGAATTGCAGGACACAAAATGTCTTCTCTCTAGATGCTATCATTTTGAATTGCATGTTCCTAGTGACAAAGTGTGAAATCAGCATTGTGCAGGATTATTTGCATAAAAATTTGTGGTTGCAAGACACAGATGTACTGTACATCCATATAGTGATGATACAAGGTGCAGTCAAAAAGTTCCAGGACTGGTGATGTGGTGCCACGATCAACCACATGCTGAATTTGTGTAAACTAGAATATGTAATAGAGATCATTATTTAGCTTCCCACAAAATTTCATGCCATTATCATATATAGTTTTTGTTTCTTGCTATTTAGGTTAGATCCATGTTCTTGTCAGTTTGTGATTTTTGTTGCTTTGTAAAATGAATTTTTTTAAGGAACATTTGTGTGTGAAATTTTGTCAAACTTGGAAAAGCTGCAACAGAAAAGAAAGTGATTTAAAGCTACACACTTACCAATGCTGAATATTATAGAGCTAGAAACAGCTATGATATTAATAATTTATAAGACAATTTGGCACTAGAGTTAGGCATTAGGCACCATCTCTTAATAATTTAATAATTATAATTTTAATTAAATGATTTAAATAATTTAGAACTACTCGAAGAGTTGCTAATTACGCTACCTGGACCTCAAGTCCGATTTCTTCTTCCAGGATATAGAAGTTTACGTTATAACCATTGACGGTTACTACAATGCCAGTTGGGGATGCATTCAGCACCCACATCCGGTAAACATCTCCAAGGCACTCAATCAGCCACCGCAAACCCCAGCAAGGCGTATATAAATACTCAGCATCCGTTTATAGCCCGATTTAATATTCGGCATTGGTTGGTGTATAGATTTAAAATATATCTGGTTTAGTGATGATGTTTGTGTATGAAAGTGATTAAGGAAACGAAACATGGATTTACAGTTATGACCAAGACCAAAAAACAATTAACTCGGTGGAAAAATCATGATTTACCTAAACAAAATAAAGCACACCAATTGAGGTGCAATCTCAAGAGCATGCTCGTTGTATTTTTGATAGGGAGGAAATTATTGTTTGGGAATTTGTTCCACGGCTAAACTGTGAATCAAAAGTTTTATATGGATGTTATGAAGTACCTGCATGAAAATGACAAAAATGACCAGATCTTTGGAAAGCCCAGAACTGGTTGTTGCATCATGGCAATGTCTCTGCTCACAGCTATCTCTATTCATTTTTCTTGAAAAATAATAAGGGCTGTAGTTCTCCAACCTCCTTATTCACCAGACTTGAAACTGTGAAACTTTTCTCTATTTCTATGGCTGAAAAAAGTGCTGAAAGGAAGTGATTTGAGAGCATTGATGACATTTGAACACAATCGCAGCAAATGCTTAACAGTGCCATTAAAAAAAAGTTCCAGGAATGTTTTAAAAACTTGGAGAAGTGCTGGAATCTTTGTATAGCTGCAGAAGGAACTTATTTTGAAGATGAAAACTCTCAATAAATTAACATTTATGTCACATTTTTTTTTTATGGAATTAGTCCCAAATCAGAACCAGTTTTTATGGAACTTTTGTATGTTCCATACATTCTCCAAAATAAAATTATGAAACCAGGGACTTCTTTTGAATAATCTTGTATTTGCAATATGTTCAATAATGTTGAACAATCTTGGATTTGCAATACTTCATTCAAGAAAATTATACATATATTGAATTCCTTTAGTATTATTACCCTTCACTAGTATTGTAAATACTTCTGTGGTTTGTTGCCTACATAAATAATTGAAATAGATGCTAAATTTCAGTTTGAGATTAATGAAAATAAAGATGTAACTTCCCCCCTTCCAGTTTACAAACCTCTTGAAATTTATCCACAGACCCTTGAACCTCAAGTTAGAATTTAAAATACACCAGAAATTCTTATCTATTTATAACAGTTTATTAAGAGGAACCAAATATACAAATAAGTTTTGTTTAACTTTTTTGGATCAATTTTTAACAACTTTTTGTTTAATTGAACTCATTTTTTGCCTATGAAGAAATTGTATCTTTCTATAAAATTTAACGATTGTATTTTTAGACTAATTTGTAGTTCCAGTGAGGAAATAGCCTTTTTTTGGAAGAAAGTTATATATCTAAAATGATATTTTTCTTTGTAGGAAATCAAATATCTTATTTATGAAACATCATTTTACAAAGGAAATGTATCATTTAACTTAAGTAGATAAGCATTTAGAGTATGAAATTGTGTTGAAAATGATTTTTAATGAGAAAATCTCATAATAGTATTAAAGACCACATTAATTATATTTAATATAGCATTAATTATTATACATTCAAAAAAATGGAAGGAATGGTTTTAACAAATTCTTAAGAATATATCAATTAAAAAAATTAATAATGCAGAAAACCAATTGGAACATTTATTTAAAGATTAGTAATATTTGATCTTTTATTGTTGATTCTCTCTTGATTCAAAAAATAAAAGGTATCCTCCAGAAATATGGTTTTATAAATAATTCGTGGGTGTCTGTTTGAAAAATAATTTAAAATGTATATGCAGGTTTTGTGGCGATTTATTTATTTTTTATTATTTTTTCATAATTATGAGTTAAAGTTGATTTACACTATATGACTGGCAGTGGCTGGCAGACCCACCAGATTGACAATTATCTATTCCATGTGTTTGCAAGAAATGGCATTAAGTATTTCACTACACTATCCACAACCCTGACCTAATTTTGATGGATTAAGATTTAATTTTTTAATAAATGCTCACAATTAAGATACAGATTAATCTTCAATTTACAAAATACAAGAATTAAATTATTATACAATGTATTTATGTAAAAAAAAAGCTTCAACTAGTGCCAATATAACAATGATATTATCAATCGTACAGGTTTAATATTTTTTTTAATTAAAAAATATATTAAACTTTTATGAAAGTTTTCAATTCTACTTTAAAAAATATATACACTTTGTCAATTATTGTAATTATTAGTTAGTGTTAGTATGACACTACCAGTCCTACCTTTAGAAAAAAAATTACTTTATATTAATTGTTAATAGCTAATGAAATTATAATCCAAATAATACAGAAATTAATTTGAATATTATTATAGAATATTGAGCTAGATTGTTTATGTATATCTGTAATTTTGTTAACAGAAATGAAACAAATAATATTTTAATGTTTAACATGGCAACTTCTAAACTCATATCAGTAAATTGTCTTGCTTATCAGCTGGGTGAATATCTAGTTTTTACATTGTAGTAATTGTGTTGCTTTCAACAGCCAACCTGGGGGCATGAGATATACACTAGGGTGGATTATACAAGATGTTATTTTCATTCTTGCAATTTTCTATGCACCATACTATATATACCACCACATGTATACTATATACCACCACATGTTAACTGCATGACATTGAAGTACATTCATACAGTCAAAATATTTTCTGTGAAATGTGATAAGTAAAATGTACAAATTACTAATGAGAAAATTAAAGTTATCACCATCAATATCTGAAATACAAAAAAGCTTGGAGTAAAAAATAGGTTCAGGTGCAAACAAAATCTGTAACTGCTTTACGTAAATATTTTTTATGTTGTTTGATATTGAAAAATGAATTTAATAAAGCACAAAAAATTTTGATGTAACATTTTTATACAAAATTCTGTTATTTTGCATTTTATCATACTGTATTAAATTTATGAAAATATAAGAAATATTTAATTTTATCTTTTTTGATGAAATAAAATTTGTATCTAAAAATTATAAAAACTTTATAGTAAATGCTAGATTACTTCACCACACATATTTATAATCTCAGTTGAAAATAGAGTACAGTCGACCCCCCTATAATTACAGTCCCTATAATTACGATTCCTATAAAACTACGAAAAAATATACGTATTTTGGAAATGTTGAGTCGGATTAGTGTAGAATCGATTAATTTTATGGAAGAAAACCTTTCAATCAGCCGTAGTCCGTAAACTTGACACGTGTCGGGCTGTGGATTCCTAATAAATTGGAATGTATCTATATCTTATAGGGGGGTCGACTGTAAAGTCTGTTTAATGTGAAAATTGTTATTAATTTCCTAATATTTAAAAGATTTTGCATGTTCTACAATGTGTAACTTAAAATACACTTATAAAACTTAATCAGAATTTTGGTTATAATTATTATAATCTTTTATATTCAGGTTAATAGGCATTTTTAAGCAATATTTTCATGATATCAACATCAGTGTGGTTGATACGATTATCATCAGTCTTAAAGAGTGCCAGTTATTTTAATCATTATTTGCTCCAGTACAGTAGTTTAAATTATTAGAATTTGTTCGGTTATACACTTGATGAAATACTGTTAATTAATATTCATTTTATACATGTTTTGTTTTAATGCGTCCTTTTAACGTCAATCAATAGAACCAGAATTTCCACTAATAGTAGTTTTATTTACTTATCCTGCTTATTGTTATCAATTGATTTTTACTTTTAGTATAGGTGATTTCTAAAATGATTGCAATAAACCAATAATATTGTAGTTGATTGATAGAAATTTTATTGTATTGATATAAAAAAAACTATTAATATTATATATAATATTATAATATTTATTGATTATTCTCATATTTTCTAAAAATCACTTATTAATTCTCCTCATGCTATCTGTTGTATTTATAAACAAACCAGTTTAGATCTTTTTTTTTATACTGCACTATCGTATCTGGAACAATCAATATGGTACTTTTAATTTCCCGGCTGTTATAACAGAGGGAAAGTATGGCGATCTGGCAAAAGATGACCCATCAGATTTTTACATTTTTGGGCTCTGGACACCTTGAAATTTTGAGAAATGCAAAAAAAATTCTGGGGTAATTTCTGTATGTATGGATGTTAGTGTGTGTGTAGGGGGCATGCTTTTGTTCGTCCTGTTTAAAGCTTAATAACTCCTGTGCTGTTTGTCAAAAATTTCTGAAATTTTGCAGGAAGGTTTGTTTATTATAGAGGGATTGATGCTTTTAAATTTTGGTGGTTAAAGTTCGAGAGGAGGGAGATAATGAAGATTCCAGTAGGGTCGGACTTAATGAGGATTTTATTCGTTATTAGCATTTACAATTTTTTTATAAAACTCGTCTCTACTCTCAAAATTAAGCTTTTTGCCATTTTATAATAGTTAAAAATATAAAAAGTTGTTTTAATAAAATATAACAACAGATGGTGCCACCAAAATTTTAAATGTTGCTGGGAAAATTGAGCAACCCATTTCTGGTTTATTTATTTATATCTGGCTTTATAGCTTAAGTGGATTATAATTTAATTGCCAACTACTTGTTACTAGTTTTATAAATTATATTGTGCCAATTTTTATAAAATTGGCATACTAATAGTTCGTCGCAAATGAAATTGCCATTTTTTAAAATTTAAGATTATCGTCTATATAGTTTAACGTTTACCGTGTGAATGGAATTGTATGAGTGCAACTGGAAGAGTACACATATATTGATAATATATTAATTAAAAATATAATGTCATTTATATCATGAATTCCATATGTTTAAGATCAGTTTTTCTGATGGCATGGAAAGAAAAGAAACAAGAATAATTTTCTTGTATGAGTAGAAGCTAGGGCATAATGGAGACAAGGAAACCCAAAATATCAATAAAGCTTTTGGTGAAGGTTTTATGAGTGAGCATACCAATCACTGGTTTGACAAATTTCATTTCAAAAATACAAATCTCAAAAATTTGCTTTGCGAACACACATTATCTGTCATCGACAATGATATTTTGAAGAGCATCGTTGAGTCAGAACCTTGTCTGTAAGGGAGATTGAAGAAAAGTTGAATGTGCATTATTCAACCATTTCTTAGCAAGTAAACATGTTAGGAAAATTGAGACAAATGGATACCACATAAACTCAGTGAGAGACATTTCGAGGTCAGCAGTTCAATTATTTATCACAAAAACCAAAGTATTTGAATGAAATTCTTCCTCATCCACCTTATTCTCTAGACCTTTTGCTGATAGACTATCACTTTTTTTATGCTTTTTGGCAGGGAAAGTCTTCAGGGAAGAGGACACAATAAAAAGTCTCTTTAATGACTTTTTGTCTTCTCTTTCTCGTGATTTCTATCAAATTAGCATTAACGCACTTCTGTTGCATTGGGAGAAGTGTATTAATGTTGATGGAGACTATTTTAGTTGACTATATAAGTTTTAAATTAAATTAATAAATGTTCAAAATCAGAAATAAAAATTGGCCATTTCATTTGCAACAACGTAATATTTGTTAAAAGTTTCTATTTTTACCTATGTATATATATATATATATATATGAATTGAGAGATAATTTTTATTGTAATTAATTATTAAGGTCGACCACCAAGCCCAGCAGGACAAGTACCACCTCAGAATTATCACCCTGATTATGGTAATTATGGTAGAATATCATCTCCACCAGTTGAAAAAAATTGCGAAATGTATCATTCTCAAAGTGGTCAAAATTATGCTGAATATGGGTATCAGAGATGTCCTCCTCCGTCCTTAGAACATGGGTCTGCACATAGAGCAATGCCTCAAGTTCCCAGAATTGGCATCGATTATACACAGCATCCATGTAGTTATGAAGAATTGGATTCTCTTTCACCAAATGCAGCTGATTATCAAGGTAGATATAAGAATGATCAATTTGGTAAGCTTACTATATTCATATTTCATATAGAGTTAACAATTTTATTGTTTTAGATTTGTTTTTTTTTTATGTATAATTGATTATCTGATATAGTAAATAGGATTATTCATTTCATTTAAGAAGTCTGCTGGAACTTACATAAAAAGTAATAATATCTATTAAGTACATTTTTGAGCTTTCAGATTTTTCTGATAAAATATTTCCTAAATTACGAAATTGTCAAAGTTTCCTTCTTGACATCTTACAGTAGTCAGAGTATAAATTAATTAATTATCTGTCTGTTTTTAAAGATGTTTATTATTATTAATTCGTTCTGTATTATTTTAAATTAATGTTTTTCTTTTGTATTGATTATTTCTTAATTAAAATATTTAGTATATAGATTAAATAACTGTATATATTGATAATATATTGGGTTGGCTAATAAGTTTGTGCGGTTTTTGCTGATAAATAGATAGACGCTTTGAAATGCAATTACTAGTAGTTTAACTTTGAAAACACATTTGTTTGATAAGTGACATTTCACTAACACTTGTCAAAAATAGAGCTTGACAATTAGTTTTGTCAGTATTTGAAAGATGAGTGAACAAAATGCGCATTATCGACATTATGCTTTTTATTTTAAAAAAGTCAAAAATGCAGTGCAGACCTGTAAAAAAAAGACATGTGATGTATATGATAAGAATGCCATGAAAAAATGCATGTGCACCAGAAGTGGTTTGCAACATTTTGTTCTGGAGATTTTTCCATTGAGTGCATTTGTCCACACCATGATCAGATTGGCCATTTGAGATTGACGGCAATCAAATAAATGAATTAGTTGACTGTAATCCAAGCCGTACAATGCAGGAAATTACAGATATCCTTAAAATATTGAAATCGAGCATGAAAAATCATCTGCATCAACTTGGATACATCAGCAACCAAACTTGATGTTTGGGTTTCATATGAACTTAGTGAAGCCAATTGCATCACTCATATTTTCCATCAGAAATGAGTCACTTTCCTCACGTTTTTGAGAGAATTTCAGAAGTGAATGGTGACAGAGGATGAAAAGTGGATTGTTTATGTCAACATCAATCGCGAAAGATTGTGGAGGAAGCACGGCAAACTGCTGCAAACCACTTCAAAAGCTGGACTTCATCCAAGCAAAGTCAAGCTCTCGATTTGGTGAGTGTTTTGTTTTATGAACTGTTTCCGAAGAACAAAATGATCAATTCTGACATATACTGTGACCAGCTGGATAAATGAAATTCAGCAATTCTGGATGCTTTTCCTGAATTGATAAATCGTCTTCCACCACAATAACACCCAGCAACATGCATCATTACAAACCTGACAAAAAGTGTTGGAGCTTGGCTGGGATGTTGTACTTCATCCTCCATATTCATCTGACTTTGCTCCTTCTGATTACCACTTGTTTCACTTCCTTCAAAATTCTTTAAATGAACAGTACTTTTGTTTCTGTTTGTGACATAAAATGGCACTTGGAACAGTTTTTCTTAAACACATATTATGAAATTCCCCTAAAGATGGCAAAAGGTATTTGATAAAAACAGTGGATATATTATTGAATAAAATTTTTATTTTCTACAAAAAAATTATCTTTTTATTTTCACCTAAAAATAAACAGACTTATTGGCCAACCCAATATAAAAATCTTGTTCATTACAAAGAATTGTTTTAATTTCAAAAAATATGGAGAATGATACAAAGTGATGCAAAATATCAAATAGATTTGTTAGTAAAAATAAAAGAATTTTAAGCTCAGCAAAAATTAAGTGTTGGTGAAATTGGTGTGATTTTATTTGCTGAGAAAGCGGTGGATAAATTGCCAAAAACAGTTGGTGCCACTATTCGTGACAATTTTTATTTTAGTGAATGTTGATATTAAAGTTTATTTTAATGATTTTGTTGTCTGTATGAGTTATATATATATAATCAGTAATGATTAACTTTTGATATTGAAGAAGAAAGAATTTTTATGTATGAGATAAAAAGACATCATCACTCTAACGGTCAAGGGGTGACAACGCTTAGTCAGCACCTGAAGGAGACCTCGGCGGAGGTCAAACGTTAGTGGATAGTGTAACGAACACAACACTGATAGATAAAGGTTTTTTGTGGACAGAGAGAGAAATTATTTTACAAATAAATAATGAACACTGATTGGCCAAATAGTCATGGGGAAAGATGTCAGCCTACTAAACTGAATTTGAAGACTAATGCAGACCACCATATTTTTTTTATCACAGGTAATACAGATTTGTCCTTTGTTCTCCATTCTTTATTCATGTTGCCAATTCTTTTGCTAGTCAATCCCATGACATAATAAGCATAATTGTGGCTGGCCATTATGAAGGTCATTAAAAAATATTAAGGTTATAAACTAATCAATTAATCATTCAGTTTATGTTGTTCATGAACACTTCAAAGTAGCTTCTTTAGAGAATAATGATAAGTTTATGTATTCATTTCTGTCTTGTACTGCCTAACTTGCGCACATGCACGCGTGTGTATGTGGATGAGAGAGTGAGCATTATTTTTAAATGTTTTCGTCTTAGAATGTTGGTCATCAATCAAATTAATTGCTATTAAACAAATTGGTGTTTGTCAAATGAATGATGATTATAATCAAAAAACTAAAATTTCAAAATAAAATTTGTAGTTGAAGATAGAAATATGTAATATTGTTTGTAAAATATGTCATATTGCTTAAATAAATCAATTTATTCAAAATAGATTGAAAACATAATTAAAATAAATTCTAAATAATAATAATAAACTCTCCCATGGTCATAGTGGGAGAGCCCAGTAATTTTACTGATCCACGGGGCAATGAGGCTGGAGCACAAGTTCCTGGTAGGGACACCCATGCCAGTAAGGTCTATGGGGAGAAATGAAGCTAAGAGTGACCCTCATTCTGTGGAGATATTTATCATGATAGTAACCAGATCAAAGTGTGATACCAGCTCGGATGTCACCCAGGTTAACAAGGTCCACGTTTGTGAGTTAGGCAGATGCTTGGATTTCATTAGTTCAGAATACAAAGCTATGCAAATCTTGGCAACACATTACAATGAAGTTCATTCAGAAAGGATTTTAGGAGAATTTTCTGGAATTTCTTGTAGTTTTTCTTATGTCACACATCTTCCATATAAAAGGTAAGTCACTTTTAGCTGTTCATAGTCTGTGAAAAATTGCACTGGAACCAATTGGGAAAATTATTATCCAAAAGTATAAAGGAGCCTCTCAATGCTGTATCGTGCACGATGTACAGATATCTCACTTTACAGTTCAGGGAACCATAAAATGCCTTTGAGAAAGAAGACATACTCATCCAGGAAAAGCTTTACAAAGAAAACTACCTTTCATTTCCAGATAACTATGGTCCTTTCAATGCTATATTTTCCAAAATGGGCAAGTTTCCATAGCAGATTTGACAAAGTGGGCAAGGAAATACTCTTAATATCACATTATCTGAATGCACAGTGTGAAGATATATCCAATGATGCAAATATGGCTTTACAAATCCAAGGGAAAACCTCTCGCAAATGAATCCTTTAAGCACAGATATTTAACTTGGGCCAAAACTCGTCTGGAGTGGGCAAATGCTGATTGGAAGAAAACACTATGGTTGGATGAGAGAAAATCATTCATACTAAAGATGAAGCTAAAAATCTAGCATGTTATTCAAGATGAGTCCAGAAGCCTGTCTTTAATGGTTTGGGGATGCATGAGTGCAGAGAAATTTGGAGATTTGCATTTCTGCAATGCTGCTGTGAACTCTTAAGCCTAAATTCTAATCCTTCAGCAACATCTATGCAAATTAAAATGTAAACTTTTCCAAAGATTAGTCTGTATTTTCCAGCACAACAAAACCTGTCTGCACAATGCTACAAAAACCAAAGCCTGGCTGCAGTCTAATAATATACGTGTATTCCTCTGGCCAGCATCAAGCTCAGACCTATTTCCGAAAGAAAACGTATGGAGATTTTTGAAAAGAAAGATGGCTCAATGCAGTCCTTGCATGTTAGAACAATTACATATGTATTTAAGCAAAGAATGGGAAAAAAATCCCCACTCAGTTGCTGCACAAGTTTGTATCTTCCATGACTCAATGCTTTACAACTCTTATAAAACAAAAAGGCAATGCTATTCCATGGTGATTACAGAATTTTAACACATTGAATGAACTTCAAAGGCATCTGTTGCAAAGGCTCTGTAGATTATAAATTATATATTTTTATAGCAACATATTTTCTCAAAATTCTGAGCTTTTGATATGTTTGTATGGTCACTTGTCTTTATAATAAATTACTTTTTGTTACAAAAATAAACATCTGTGCATTGTACTATGAATTATTTTTAAGTTTTTATTGGTGAATGTAATTCATTGCAAGCAGGTTTGTATTTCCCCCATTCAAGCATTAATGAGCCAGATAGTCAGTGGTTGAGGTGTACTGTACTACATGCCTGCCAAAGACCTGGATTAAAGTTCAGGATGCTTAGTCTTGAGGTACACGAAAGTAACATGAACACGTTGAGTGTCATTTGATCAAGCTTGTTCAGAGAATGGTCTCACTGAGTCTGTGCTGTGTAAAATTCAAAATATGTTCATGTTGCTACTCATTTAATTCAAAATGAGATAGATCAGATCTTTAGAAATATTTCATGGGTCTATGAAAAATTCATATAGGTATGTGTCAAATCCATCTTCATCATCCAGATGCCCCATTTGTGTGTCTAGTTAAACTCAAGTCAGTCTGTTTAAAAGGTCCTCTATCATACGTGTATAGAGGGTTAAAGAATGGGGAATAAATATCAGTTGAAAAATTAATTATTTTTTTTTTCGTTTTTATTTTTGATTTATGTTGTTTACTCTTAGAGTTTCTTCAATACAGAACTATTTTTTTCAGGATACAATCCATATGAAACTAGTCCATTACCACAGAGTTACTTGGATCACAGACCAAGCTATGATGACCATCCTTCCAATCATCATCCCAACACACATCCAGCTGCTACTTATGCATCACCCTCAAAAGAGTTCGAAGGTGAAATGCTTCCTTGTGATGGACACATTAATCAACCTCACAACACAACTATTGATGAAAATGGAAGAGGTAATTTGTGTAACAGTTTATTTATATTTATATATTATTGAGTTTATCTAAGACATTATCCATGCACACTTTTCCTCTTTAAACTCCTAACACTTTCATTTTCTTCTTGCACTGTGAGCACTAAGAGGGTCTTTTTCTCAGATCCATTATGTGTTTGGCCAGGCCCACAGTGGGATGTCCAGGGGATGCAAGATGGAGCCTAATGTATCTGGGACAAACAGTCCATAGAAAATTTCTGGGGTTCTTGGCCCAGATTTGATCCCAAGTCCTCTAGAGCAGTAGCTGATGCTTTGTCATTTCAGTTATCTGCTACCCTACTCAACATTAATATGGCATGGATTAGGTGCCAGACCACCACTCTAAAGCAAATTTTACATCAAAATGAATCGCATCTTTTTTTCACTTGTCAGAGTTTTATATTGTCAGCATATATAAAATATATGCTAACAATATAAAACTCTTACGAAATGCAAAAGTAAAAATAAAAAAAAAAAAGGCTGCTTTGCTAATATAATTGAAAGGCACTGTATTAGCAAAGCACCTTAAATAGTTTATTAAACTGAACAGGTGTCCTTTGCTTTATTTACATCAGAAATTGAAATATAAATTTATTACTTATTATATCATTTTTCTTTCTCAGTAACTTTGTGTTTTGAGAAAACCAATATTAATTTAACCATTTTAAAATGTCTCAAACAATTATTATTATTTCTGACTGATATTTCTCTATTGTATTCAACTGTTTGCTACTACTTAACAAGAAAAAATCCAGCAACAAGTTGCATAACTTTCCCGGCTATTATGAGCTCTTGTTTAGAAAACTTTTATAATTTAATTACTGTATAACTTAATAAATTTGTGTGGCACCATCTGTTATGAGATTTTGTTAAAAATATAAAAAGTTTTTTTATAATTACTAAAAATGACAAAAAGAGGGTAGGGATGAGTTTTATAATAAAAAAAAAAAAAAAAAAATAGTATAAATGTTAATGACGGTTAAAAGTCGTCATTAAGTCTGACTGTACTGGAGACAGACACAACTCTCTTTATCTCCCCGCCTCCTTGACTTTTAATTACCAAAATTTAATAGCATCAATGTCCCTCATATACAAGCCACCATGCCAAATTTTGTTATTTAATCTTTACTCCATTCTGAGTTGTTATTAAGCAAAGTGGATGACAACACATGCACACACACCTACAGAATTTTTTTTCCTTTTTCTGGATTCAGGAGGTCTCAAAACACACAGATTTGAAAAAAAAACTAGGAGGGTCAAATTTGACGTGATTCCAATACTTTTCCTTACGTAATATTTAAATTTAAAAATTTATTCAAAGTGAGTCGGTATATAATTATTTCTCGTACTGAATCGTACAATTTCAATGATAATATATAACAACAAATCTTGTTTTTCTTATTACCTTCTTTAGTATTTGTAATTAGAACTTTAAAATGATGAAATGGTTTTAAATTTTTATATAAAATGCAACAAATAAAATTTATTGTACATATTTTTGTTTTAGAAATGATGTGGAGATATCCGGATCTTCACGAAGTTATAGAATTTTTAAATCATCCAAATAACGTTATAAGAGCAAATGCTGCTGCTTATTTACAACATTTATGTTACATGAATGATTCTACAAAACAAAAAACAAGGTAACTACATAATAACATTTTATGTATTTATTAAGCCATTTTTCTCTCTCTAATGTAAAATTAATTTCTTCATTTTTTTCAAAAGTAAGAATTTTAAGTTCTTAATCTAATTAAAAAATACAAAATTAAACAAGTTTGGAGAAGTCGTCGTATTTATTCAAACATTCTGTTACAATAAAATTTTCATTCATCTGCATGTTAAATCTTATTAAACAAAATATAATGAATCCTATGAATTTGATTTTTCGTTTGATGTGAAATCAATACAATGAAATTAAGATCTTTTTTCAGTTTTGTATGTCATAAATAATACAAATAAGATTTTTCTTATATTTATTTTGATTTAGAGCTTTAGGAGGAATTCCTCCACTGATCGATTTACTAAATCAGGACATTCCGGAAATTCAGAAAAATGCCTGCGGCGCGCTGAGAAATCTTTCGTTTGGACGGCAAAACGACGAAAATAAGGTACACGTTTATATTTACATTTAGATTATTTCGTTGTGGAATTATTTTTGAACTAAATATTTCTAAATTTTTCAAACGTTTTTATTTGATTCCGGTATAATATCAAATGTATACAAAAAGATCTTTAGTATTTATATTTCATTTGTGATTTAAAAATTTTTTGAATCAAAATTCTGTGATATTTTTATTTCAATATTACAAAATTTTGATTCAAAAAATTTTAAATTGTTTTTATTTTCTGTGATTCAAAATTTGAATTACAAAGCACTTTAAGTTTTGATAATCTAATGAAGTCTTAAATGTAAAAAGATTAATTTGAATCTATAAATTTGAACAATGTATATTTATTCTTCACGAAATGTTACGTTGCTATTTAAGAACCAAAATTTTATATATCGTATTTTAATTAATAAAAGTGTTTTTATAAAATCTTTATTATTATAGAGAGCAATCTGTAATTCTGGTGGAATTCCTGCCTTAATCCATTTATTAAGAAAAACACCCGACAGTGAAATTCGCGATTTAGTGACTGGTGTCTTGTGGAATTTATCTTCTTCTGAAGTAAATGTTAAATTAATTCTTCATTATCAAATTTTACAAATTTTATAATTGTCTTTAAAAAATATATATGACTTCTTTTTAGGATTTAAAAAGGATAATTATAGATGATTGTTTGCACGTACTTGTAAATCACATTATTATTCCACACTCGGGATGGGATAAGAACGAAGATCAAAATCGCATGAAGTCTCACGAAATACACTGGTCTACTGTTTTCCGAAATGCCAGTGGTGTAATAAGGTAAATGTCTTTTTATAAAAACTTTTTTTTTTCAAAGTATAAACTTAAATGCGAATATTGTGATTTCAGAAATGTGAGTTCAGCAGGCGAGTATGCTAGGCAGAGACTTAGAGCATGTGAGGGGTTAGTTGATGCACTCCTCCATTTAGTTGGTTCGGCTATTGGAAAAAATGATATAGATAATAAGTGTGTTGAGAACTGTGTTTGCATATTAAGAAATTTATCGTATCGTTGTCAAGAAGTGGAGGATCCAGAATATGAAAAGCATCATTTGACATCCTTGCATTCTAGTCTTCCCATCAAATGTGAGTTATTTTTGTTATAAAATTCTTCATTAAAATTGACAAACGCCAATCTTTTATGAGCGGATTCGTGTTATATTGCACGAAATACAGGTATCCCTCGCGTAACACGGTAGTTACATTTCGAAAAAGTGCAGTGTTAGGCAAATCCATGCTATACAAAACATAGGAATAATGCAAACAATGGCAGAAGTTAGTAACAAAAAAGAATAGTATACTTTTGCTAACAGAAATATGTTTGGAAATAAATTATTGATTGCTTTAATAATCAGTAATTAATTAACAATTGCAATTAAAAGTACTGTATTATGCATTAATATTAATTTTAGTTAAATCAGCATTTTCTTTTTACAAAGTACCGTCGTCATCTCGGCAACATTTTCATATTTTTTATTTTTATCATAAATTTTTATGAACGACAAAATAAAAAGATGCTAGAACAAATTTTCAATTAATAACGAGTTACGTTTGTCCAGTCCAGTAATGAGCAACTTTTTCCTGAATTTGTGTTTGAGTACCACGATACTGCCATATTTCATTTGTCATTTTACAAATGATTGCTTATCTACAGTTAAAAAAAATTTTTAATAGTGCTTAGTAAAGTTTATTTAAACACAAAGATTAATTAATCTATAAAAAGAAAACACAATGGCAGTCTTAAGGGCTAAAGTCTGAAAGCAATGATGACGACACCTAGTTGATAGGAAAATTAGGATGGGAAAGAAAAAATTGCACTACCAGTTTTCATTAAAGTAATCCTGATAAAAAGCACAAAATAATTTGAAAATTTCAACATTCTAGAATCTGTGGGCAAATTTGAGACAACAAGCGTACTTACAGGAATAAAAAAAAAAAAATTTCACAATTTGTAAGTGTAAACTTCATTATTTGACATTAGAGAGGTTGCGGCCGACGTTTTCAACGCGAAAACGTGTACGTCGGATGTTCAGCGCCGCCTTCCTGTAAGCCTAGAAGTTTGACAATGGCGTTTAGAACGTCGAGCATAATTCCACTGATGTTCCAAACACCATTGTCAAACTTCTAGGCTTACAGGAAGGTGGTGCTGAACATCCGACGTACGTGTTTTTGTGTTGAAAATGTCGGCTGCAACCTCTTTATTTTGTACAGAGGATTTCCCAAACTATGTTAGGGCAAAACTGGAAGTCATGTTGTACAGGGATATCCCCAATTTTCAAACCGTGTTAGAGCAAAACTGTGTTGTAGAAGTAACGTGTTGTACGAGGGGTACCATACCTGTACAGTATAAATTTGAAAAAAAAACTTCAAATGTTTTTATTGTCCATCAAAATATTTACTAAATAAGTAATATCCAAAATATAAACTAATATAAAAATTGCAGGTCTATCCCAAAAAATGGAACCAAACCCCAAACAAAAGTTATTTTTTCTGTTACAGAAGCTGAAACTTTTAGATGTCTGATAACTTTAACAGTTTATTTCAGTAACATTTAGTACGTTACTGAAATAAACTATCCAATTTATTAATTATAATTCCAGTTTATTAAGTCTCAAAGTGTGCCTGTTGTCCCAAATTGTGGATTTCACAAACTACATCTGTTTTGAGCAAATATTTCAACTAAAAAGTAATGCTTTCAGCTATTCAAAGAAATGCATATTTTAACTCTTGTTATGAATTGTTAGTTTGTAATATCCTCTTTACTACAATAAGTCTGTCTCTTATCTGGTGATTCTATTTGCAAAATTTCCTCAACATTAACACAAAATAAGAAATTTGTGGAATTTCCTGGAATAAAAAAACAACCGGGATCCTGTTTGAGAAACCCTATTATTAATAGAAAGTGTAATTAACTCATAAATTGTCAGAATACATTTGTATTTATTAATTTTTTAAATGTTTGCTCGTTATGGCATATCACAGATGGTCAATAATCAATACGTAGCTTATTTGTGGCAGGACTCTAAAAATTCTTTACTGGTCAGAACCTGTAATATATGGAATAATTGTGCTTATGCTGTCTTAATTTTTAACCATGCCCAGTAGCTTCAGTTTGCAGGTATGAAGTTTTTCTTCATAAACCCAATTATTAAAGACAAATGAATTGCCGAATTATCGGGCTATAAGCATGATGTTTCTATTAAAGCAGCCGAGGTAGATAAATCAAGAATACCAGAGAGCAAAAGAAGTACTACAATCTCAAACGAACTAGAAATCTTCCAGGCTATGATTGAAAAAAAAATGCATAACATCAGTCTTCTCTTAATGCATTAAAGACGATTCTACCCACATCGACTGAACTGGGAAGGGCATTCTCGGAAGCAGATTTTTCATTACTAAAATAAGAATCAGATTGAGTGATCAGAGTATCAACCATTTTTGCATTTTGTTGTTATTGTATGCAATTTCCAGCAAACTTGAATTACATAAATTTTTTTCTATTTGTGAAAATTTCTATTAAAAGGTAATTCTTAATATATATCTTACACAGCATTATTAATAATGATTTTGGAGATTGCATAACATATTAAAGTAATTTATCGTTTGATTTCAAGATATTTTGTATATCTTAAATATAATTAATTCTATCACGGGGACAAGCAAAAGACCGGGAAATGAGAAACCCTAATTAATAATGCTAATAACCATATACATCCATTTAAATACAATTTCTTTTGTATATAATATATACAGGGTGTCTGACTTATAAATTTTTCTTTTTTTAAACCTCTGACTTACGCATCAACTTCCAGTTTGATATTATGAATTTTATGTTGAAATCTGTTTCCATTGGTGAAAAACGTCAGTACTGTATTCACTAGTGCATATGCAGAATGGCAGACTTGTCACATTTTAGCCATAACAATGTGGATGCCCGAGAAGAAAGTTGGTTGTGTGTTCTTTCGTTGGTGGAATTGAAGCTTGTTTAGCATAAATTCCAGCATCAATTTAATGTTGGATGTCATGATGATGATCCTAGCTATGTTAGCATTATCAATTAGGACAAGCAAGTATGAGAAACTGCCACTTCGGTGCAAATGTGTGGGAAGCACTCAGTTTTCCTTGATAATGTGAAAAGAATTTGCATGATCTTCCAAAGAAATTCAAGGAAGTCAATTTGACATAAAAGTTTGGCATTCGGATTTCCCTGCTCCACAGTCCGTGATGTCGTTCACAAAAGATTGTACCTAAGAGTCTACAAAATTCAAATGCACCAAATTTTTCCAAGAACGGATATAAACAAAAGACATTTGTGGTAAAAATCAAATAGGACAGATTTTTTTCTAGACACAGTAGTATTTCGTGTATCTGGGAAAGCAAACGGGCAAATTATTCACGAGGTTTGTGAAATTGAATGTGCAGTGTATGTAATGTGTAATGTAGGATCTGGTGAAAAGCCCATTCTTTTTGTTCCATTTGGACAGTGACTGCAAAGAGTTCAGTATTTGGACATGCTGAACTCTTTGCTGTATCTCAACTTTATCCTGACATTATTTTTCAACAAGATAAAACCCATCCCCACTTTGTGAAGGAAGCGTTTGATAGACGGGCCGAATCACTTGCTTGGCCTTAGTTATTTACAAAACCCTAGTGGGAAACACAAAGTGTATCACTCATCTGTGCATAACTTGAACAATATTTTTTTTAAAAGCAGAGCATAGTCAAGCCTGGACAAGGATTGCAAACAGTGACCCATGTGATGATTTCAAAGTATTTGCATATGTAATGTGAAATCAGGGTTCTAAAACTGCCATGAAAAGTCTTAAAGGCACAAATTATGAACCTCAGATAAAAAAGTTATCATCAAATTTCCCATTAAACATAACATTCTGTTATAGTCACATTATTATTTTCCTTTTGCTTCTATAGATTTATTATTGTTGTAGATTAAAATTTGTATTTTTGTTTACTCAAATGAAATATTTGACCCACAATTTGTAGTTACTAAATTTTGAATTCAGTTTTTACCCACCATTGGCCTAGGACCTGTATCCAAAAGGAGCCCATAAACTGATTTGTAAACTATTGCTTCTTTATGGTTGAATGAACAAATATTCTCAAAACCAATGCACTTTCGGATTTTCATTTATTATGAACATCTGCAGAGTATAGATAGTTTTCCAACTGATCTGATCCCGGCTTCTATTGGTGTCGACAGAATCTAGTATCGTATCGTATATCTCTAAATTTAGTTGTGTTACTACATTTCATTCATATATCATGAGAGTAAAACTGTGGCTGTAAGCAATGTATTATTCCAATTTATTAAATTAGGTATTGTGTCAAATTACTACTGCTTGCTGCTTAGCTGCATATTAGACAATATGGTAGGATTCTTTATAAAAATTGTATAAGTTTGCTATAGTTTACCATGTACAAGTTTTTCTACTTATGTTTTTTTGTAAATAAATGCATATATTTCTTTAATGACCATAATTACAAAACTTAAATATTTCATCTATAATTTTTAGCTGTCGGAGATAATTTAGGATGTTTTGGTGCTAACAAGAAGAAAAAAGAAATCGCGAACGTAGATAAGAGGAAAACTAATTCCAGAAATGCAACAAATTTATCGCCTACTTCCGAGCCGGTCAGAGGAATGGAACGTCTCTGGCAACCGGAAGTAGTTCAGATCTATTTGGCGCTTTTATCAGACTGCTCCAATCAAGCCACGTTAGAGGCGGCAGCAGGATCGATTCAAAACTTGGCAGCGTGTTATTGGCAGGTTAGCTAATAATTACCAATTGTAAGTTTTTATAGTTAAAGTATTTTAGAACAAATTTTTGTTTTTTCTAGCCTAGTATCGACATCAGAGCAACGGTTAGAAAAGAGAAAGGTCTTCCAATCCTTATAGAGTTATTAAAAATGGATGAAGACAGAGTCGTCTGTGCCGTTGCTACAGCTCTGCGAAATCTTGCAATGGATCAAAGAAACAAGGAATTAATAGGTACATATTGTCATATATGTAGCATAATGCCATAATCATACATAGTGATATATTGTTCCTTTACAAAAATTTATGCAGGCAAGCATGCAATGAGAGATCTCATTCAAAAATTACCAAGCAGTGCATCTCAGCAAATTGCATCGGACGATACAATTGCAGCAATCTTAGCAACATTAAACGAAGTAATTGTCAGAAATAGTGACTTCGCTTACACTTTACTGGAAGCGGGAGGAGTCGAAAGATTAATGTATATAATGAATCAAAAAGGCAGATTTTCCTCGAGGATTATTAAGTTTACATCTGAGGTAATATTTATTTTTGTTATTGTTATAATTAATTTAAATTCATAAAATTAAATTTTTTTCCCCCCAGTCGTTGTATAATTTGTGGCAACATCAAGAACTTCGAGAAGCTTACAGAAAAGTAGGATGGAGAGAATGTCATTTCATTAACAAAACATCACTTTCCAGAAATGCATCGTCTCCCATGAACAGTTTCAATAGTTCGCTCAGTTGCCCCGTTAGCTCCCAAAGCGGAACAAAATACGAAGACAAAACACTTCCCAGAGGACAGGAATTAAATTCTATATCACCCGGTATAAGAATTTTTATTATTATTTTTTTGGTTTATAAATTTATATATACCATACAGTTTCAGAAACAGTTGAATTTTGTCAGAGATTTCACTTCTTATCACTATAATTTAACTCCAAATGATTTTAAATTTTGTACAGTAATATAAACAAAAAGTTTTGAAACAGACTTTTTTAGTCACTAAATAAAAAAAAATATTAGACAAACAATTTAGTGTGTCACTACATGTTTTACAGAGTACACTGAAAATGAGTCCTGAGTTGGCCCTATACTTTCTAGTCGTGCATATTCTAGTGTGCCAAAAAACTGTGTTGCCTGGTGATAAAATGATTATTTAAATCAAATTTGATATTATTGTTGTAAATATCATTTTTTCACCCAAAGATTACAATACAGTGGTACCTCAGGATACGAAATTAATCCGTTCCGACACCGAGATCGTATCAGGAAAATGTCGTAAAGTGAATCATTTTTCCCCCATATGATTACGTGTAAAGCCAAATAAATCATTCCAGCACAAAAAACACACTCAAATTAAAGCTAAGTAGTACATTCAAAAATAATAATGATACTAACTATAATAAGGAAAACACTGAAAAATGCGTTTTGTAGTTGTAAATGTATAAATAACCATAATAGAATAATAATTGATTAAAAAAATGTAGTTTTATTTACACTTTACCTTTGAGGATAGACGATGGTGGNAGGGTAGGGATGAGTTTTATAATAAAAAAAAAAAAAAAAAAATAGTATAAATGTTAATGACGGTTAAAAGTCGTCATTAAGTCTGACTGTACTGGAGACAGACACAACTCTCTTTATCTCCCCGCCTCCTTGACTTTTAATTACCAAAATTTAATAGCATCAATGTCCCTCATATACAAGCCACCATGCCAAATTTTGTTATTTAATCTTTACTCCATTCTGAGTTGTTATTAAGCAAAGTGGATGACAACACATGCGCACACACCTACAGAATTTTTTTTCCTTTTTCTGGATTCAGGAGGTCTCAAAACACACAGATTTGAAAAAAAAACTAGGAGGGTCAAATTTGACGTGATTCCAATACTTTTCCTTACGTAATATTTAAATTTAAAAATTTATTCAAAGTGAGTCGGTATATAATTATTTCTCGTACTGAATCGTACAATTTCAATGATAATATATAACAACAAATCTTGTTTTTCTTATTACCTTCTTTAGTATTTGTAATTAGAACTTTAAAATGATGAAATGGTTTTAAATTTTTATATAAAATGCAACAAATAAAATTTATTGTACATATTTTTGTTTTAGAAATGATGTGGAGATATCCGGATCTTCACGAAGTTATAGAATTTTTAAATCATCCAAATAACGTTATAAGAGCAAATGCTGCTGCTTATTTACAACATTTATGTTACATGAATGATTCTACAAAACAAAAAACAAGGTAACTACATAATAACATTTTATGTATTTATTAAGCCATTTTTCTCTCTCTAATGTAAAATTAATTTCTTCATTTTTTTCAAAAGTAAGAATTTTAAGTTCTTAATCTAATTAAAAAATACAAAATTAAACAAGTTTGGAGAAGTCGTCGTATTTATTCAAACATTCTGTTACAATAAAATTTTCATTCATCTGCATGTTAAATCTTATTAAACAAAATATAATGAATCCTATGAATTTGATTTTTCGTTTGATGTGAAATCAATACAATGAAATTAAGATCTTTTTTCAGTTTTGTATGTCATAAATAATACAAATAAGATTTTTCTTATATTTATTTTGATTTAGAGCTTTAGGAGGAATTCCTCCACTGATCGATTTACTAAATCAGGACATTCCGGAAATTCAGAAAAATGCCTGCGGCGCGCTGAGAAATCTTTCGTTTGGACGGCAAAACGACGAAAATAAGGTACACGTTTATATTTACATTTAGATTATTTCGTTGCGGAATTATTTTTGAACTAAATATTTCTAAATTTTTCAAACGTTTTTATTTGATTCCGGTATAATATCAAATGTATACAAAAAGATCTTTAGTATTTATATTTCATTTGTGATTTAAAAATTTTTTGAATCAAAATTCTGTGATATTTTTATTTCAATATTACAAAATTTTGATTCAAAAAATTTTAAATTGTTTTTATTTTCTGTGATTCAAAATTTGAATTACAAAGCACTTTAAGTTTTGATAATCTAATGAAGTCTTAAATGTAAAAAGATTAATTTGAATCTATAAATTTGAACAATGTATATTTATTCTTCACGAAATGTTACGTTGCTATTTAAGAACCAAAATTTTATATATCATATTTTAATTAATAAAAGTGTTTTTATAAAATCTTTATTATTATAGAGAGCAATCTGTAATTCTGGTGGAATTCCTGCCTTAATCCATTTATTAAGAAAAACACCCGACAGTGAAATTCGCGATTTAGTGACTGGTGTCTTGTGGAATTTATCTTCTTCTGAAGTAAATGTTAAATTAATTCTTCATTATCAAATTTTACAAATTTTATAATTGTCTTTAAAATATATATATGACTTCTTTTTAGGATTTAAAAAGGATAATTATAGATGATTGTTTGCACGTACTTGTAAATCACATTATTATTCCACACTCGGGATGGGATAAGAACGAAGATCAAAATCGCATGAAGTCTCACGAAATACACTGGTCTACTGTTTTCCGAAATGCCAGTGGTGTAATAAGGTAAATGTCTTTTTATAAAAACTTTTTTTTTTTCAAAGTATAAACTTAAATGCGAATATTGTGATTTCAGAAATGTGAGTTCAGCAGGCGAGTATGCTAGGCAGAGACTTAGAGCATGTGAGGGGTTAGTTGATGCACTCCTCCATTTAGTTGGTTCGGCTATTGGAAAAAATGATATAGATAATAAGTGTGTTGAGAACTGTGTTTGCATATTAAGAAATTTATCGTATCGTTGTCAAGAAGTGGAGGATCCAGAATATGAAAAGCATCATTTGACATCCTTGCATTCTAGTCTTCCCATCAAATGTGAGTTATTTTTGTTATAAAATTCTTCATTAAAATTGACAAACGCCAATCTTTTATGAGCGGATTCGTGTTATATTGCACGAAATACAGGTATCCCTCGCGTAACACGGTAGTTACATTTCGAAAAAGTGCAGTGTTAGGCAAATCCATGCTATACAAAACATAGGAATAATGCAAACAATGGCAGAAGTTAGTAACAAAAAAGAATAGTATACTTTTGCTAACAGAAATATGTTTGGAAATAAATTATTGATTGCTTTAATAATCAGTAATTAATTAACAATTGCAATTAAAAGTACTGTATTATGCATTAATATTAATTTTAGTTAAATCAGCATTTTCTTTTTACAAAGTACCGTCGTCATCTCGGCAACATTTTCATATTTTTTATTTTTATCATAAATTTTTATGAACGACAAAATAAAAAGATGCTAGAACAAATTTTCAATTAATAACGAGTTACGTTTGTCCAGTCCAGTAATGAGCAACTTTTTCCTGAATTTGTGTTTGAGTACCACGATACTGCCATATTTCATTTGTCATTTTACAAATGATTGCTTATCTACAGTTAAAAAAAATTTTTAATAGTGCTTAGTAAAGTTTATTTAAACACAAAGATTAATTAATCTATAAAAAGAAAACACAATGGCAGTCTTAAGGGCTAAAGTCTGAAAGCAATGATGACGACACCTAGTTGATAGGAAAATTAGGATGGGAAAGAAAAAATTGCACTACCAGTTTTCATTAAAGTAATCCTGATAAAAAGCACAAAATAATTTGAAAATTTCAACATTCTAGAATCTGTGGGCAAATTTGAGACAACAAGCGTACTTACAGGAATAAAAAAAAAATTTCACAATTTGTAAGTGTAAACTTCATTATTTGACATTAGAGAGGTTGCGGCCGACGTTTTCAACGCGAAAACGTGTACGTCAGATGTTCAGCGCCGCCTTCCTGTAAGCCTAGAAGTTTGACAATGGCGTTTAGAACGTCGAGCATAATTCCACTGATGTTCCAAACACCATTGTCAAACTTCTAGGCTTACAGGAAGGTGGTGCTGAACATCCGACGTACGTGTTTTTGTGTTGAAAATGTCGGCTGCAACCTCTTTATTTTGTACAGAGGATTTCCCAAACTATGTTAGGGCAAAACTGGAAGTCATGTTGTACAGGGATATCCCCAATTTTCAAACCGTGTTAGAGCAAAACTGTGTTGTAGAAGTAACGTGTTGTACGAGGGGTACCATACCTGTACAGTATAAATTTGAAAAAAAAACTTCAAATGTTTTTATTGTCTATCAAAATATTTACTAAATAAGTAATATCCAAAATATAAACTAATATAAAAATTGCAGGTCTATCCCAAAAAATGGAACCAAACCCCAAACAAAAGTTATTTTTTCTGTTACAGAAGCTGAAACTTTTAGATGTCTGATAACTTTAACAGTTTATTTCAGTAACATTTAGTACGTTACTGAAATAAACTATCCAATTTATTAATTATAATTCCAGTTTATTAAGTCTCAAAGTGTGCCTGTTGTCCCAAATTGTGGATTTCACAAACTACATCTGTTTTGAGCAAATATTTCAACTAAAAAGTAATGCTTTCAGCTATTCAAAGAAATGCATATTTTAACTCTTGTTATGAATTGTTAGTTTGTAATATCCTCTTTACTACAATAAGTCTGTCTCTTATCTGGTGATTCTATTTGCAAAATTTCCTCAACATTAACACAAAATAAGAAATTTGTGGAATTTCCTGGAATAAAAAAACAACCGGGATCCTGTTTGAGAAACCCTATTATTAATAGAAAGTGTAATTAACTCATAAATTGTCAGAATACATTTGTATTTATTAATTTTTTAAATGTTTGCTCGTTATGGCATATCACAGATGGTCAATAATCAATACGTAGCTTATTTGTGGCAGGACTCTAAAAATTCTTTACTGGTCAGAACCTGTAATATATGGAATAATTGTGCTTATGCTGTCTTAATTTTTAACCATGCCCAGTAGCTTCAGTTTGCAGGTATGAAGTTTTTCTTCATAAACCCAATTATTAAAGACAAATGAATTGCCGAATTATCGGGCTATAAGCATGATGTTTCTATTAAAGCAGCCGAGGTAGATAAATCAAGAATACCAGAGAGCAAAAGAAGTACTACAATCTCAAACGAACTAGAAATCTTCCAGGCTATGATTGAAAAAAAAATGCATAACATCAGTCTTCTCTTAATGCATTAAAGACGATTCTACCCACATCGACTGAACTGGGAAGGGCATTCTCGGAAGCAGATTTTTCATTACTAAAATAAGAATCAGATTGAGTGATCAGAGTATCAACCATTTTTGCATTTTGTTGTTATTGTATGCAATTTCCAGCAAACTTGAATTACATAAATTTTTTTCTATTTGTGAAAATTTCTATTAAAAGGTAATTCTTAATATATATCTTACACAGCATTATTAATAATGATTTTGGAGATTGCATAACATATTAAAGTAATTTATCGTTTGATTTCAAGATATTTTGTATATCTTAAATATAATTAATTCTATCACGGGGACAAGCAAAAGACCGGGAAATGAGAAACCCTAATTAATAATGCTAATAACCATATACATCCATTTAAATACAATATCTTTTGTATATAATATATACAGGGTGTCTGACTTATAAATTTTTCTTTTTTTAAACCTCTGACTTACGCATCAACTTCCAGTTTGATATTATGAATTTTATGTTGAAATCTGTTTCCATTGGTGAAAAACGTCAGTACTGTATTCACTAGTGCATATGCAGAATGGCAGACTTGTCACATTTTAGCCATAACAATGTGGATGCCCGAGAAGAAAGTTGGTTGTGTGTTCTTTCGTTGGTGGAATTGAAGCTTGTTTAGCATAAATTCCAGCATCAATTTAATGTTGGATGTCATGATGATGATCCTAGCTATGTTAGCATTATCAATTAGGACAAGCAATTATGAGAAACTGCCACTTCGGTGCAAATGTGTGGGAAGCACTCAGTTTTCCTTGATAATGTGAAAAGAATTTGCATGATCTTCCAAAGAAATTCAAGGAAGTCAATTTGACATAAAAGTTTGGCATTCGGATTTCCCTGCTCCACAGTCCGTGATGTCGTTCACAAAAGATTGTACCTAAGAGTCTACAAAATTCAAATGCACCAAATTTTTCCAAGAACGGATATAAACAAAAGACATTTGTGGTAAAAATCAAATAGGACAGATTTTTTTCTAGACACAGTAGTATTTCGTGTATCTGGGAAAGCAAACGGGCAAATTATTCACGAGGTTTGTGAAATTGAATGTGCAGTGTATGTAATGTGTAATGTAGGATCTGGTGAAAAGCCCATTCTTTTTGTTCCATTTGGACAGTGACTGCAAAGAGTTCAGTATTTGGACATGCTGAACTCTTTGCTGTATCTCAACTTTATCCTGACATTATTTTTCAACAAGATAAAACCCATCCCCACTTTGTGAAGGAAGCGTTTGATAGACGGGCCGAATCACTTGCTTGGCCTTAGTTATTTACAAAACCCTAGTGGGAAACACAAAGTGTATCACTCATCTGTGCATAACTTGAACAATATTTTTTTTAAAAGCAGAGCATAGTCAAGCCTGGACAAGGATTGCAAACAGTGACCCATGTGATGATTTCAAAGTATTTGCATATGTAATGTGAAATCAGGGTTCTAAAACTGCCATGAAAAGTCTTAAAGGCACAAATTATGAACCTCAGATAAAAAAGTTATCATCAAATTTCCCATTAAACATAACATTCTGTTATAGTCACATTATTATTTTCCTTTTGCTTCTATAGATTTATTATTGTTGTAGATTAAAATTTGTATTTTTGTTTACTCAAATGAAATATTTGACCCACAATTTGTAGTTACTAAATTTTGAATTCAGTTTTTACCCACCATTGGCCTAGGACCTGTATCCAAAAGGAGCCCATAAACTGATTTGTAAACTATTGCTTCTTTATGGTTGAATGAACAAATATTCTCAAAACCAATGCACTTTCGGATTTTCATTTATTATGAACATCTGCAGAGTATAGATAGTTTTCCAACTGATCTGATCCCGGCTTCTATTGGTGTCGACAGAATCTAGTATCGTATCGTATATCTCTAAATTTAGTTGTGTTACTACATTTCATTCATATATCATGAGAGTAAAACTGTGGCTGTAAGCAATGTATTATTCCAATTTATTAAATTAGGTATTGTGTCAAATTACTACTGCTTGCTGCTTAGCTGCATATTAGACAATATGGTAGGATTCTTTATAAAAATTGTATAAGTTTGCTATAGTTTACCATGTACAAGTTTTTCTACTTATGTTTTTTTGTAAATAAATGCATATATTTCTTTAATGACCATAATTACAAAACTTAAATATTTCATCTATAATTTTTAGCTGTCGGAGATAATTTAGGATGTTTTGGTGCTAACAAGAAGAAAAAAGAAATCGCGAACGTAGATAAGAGGAAAACTAATTCCAGAAATGCAACAAATTTATCGCCTACTTCCGAGCCGGTCAGAGGAATGGAACGTCTCTGGCAACCGGAAGTAGTTCAGATCTATTTGGCGCTTTTATCAGACTGCTCCAATCAAGCCACGTTAGAGGCGGCAGCAGGATCGATTCAAAACTTGGCAGCGTGTTATTGGCAGGTTAGCTAATAATTACCAATTGTAAGTTTTTATAGTTAAAGTATTTTAGAACAAATTTTTGTTTTTTCTAGCCTAGTATCGACATCAGAGCAACGGTTAGAAAAGAGAAAGGTCTTCCAATCCTTATAGAGTTATTAAAAATGGATGAAGACAGAGTCGTCTGTGCCGTTGCTACAGCTCTGCGAAATCTTGCAATGGATCAAAGAAACAAGGAATTAATAGGTACATATTGTCATATATGTAGCATAATGCCATAATCATACATAGTGATATATTGTTCCTTTACAAAAATTTATGCAGGCAAGCATGCAATGAGAGATCTCATTCAAAAATTACCAAGCAGTGCATCTCAGCAAATTGCATCGGACGATACAATTGCAGCAATCTTAGCAACATTAAACGAAGTAATTGTCAGAAATAGTGACTTCGCTTACACTTTACTGGAAGCGGGAGGAGTCGAAAGATTAATGTATATAATGAATCAAAAAGGCAGATTTTCCTCGAGGATTATTAAGTTTACATCTGAGGTAATATTTATTTTTGTTATTGTTATAATTAATTTAAATTCATAAAATTAAATTTTTTTCCCCCCAGTCGTTGTATAATTTGTGGCAACATCAAGAACTTCGAGAAGCTTACAGAAAAGTAGGATGGAGAGAATGTCATTTCATTAACAAAACATCACTTTCCAGAAATGCATCGTCTCCCATGAACAGTTTCAATAGTTCGCTCAGTTGCCCCGTTAGCTCCCAAAGCGGAACAAAATACGAAGACAAAACACTTCCCAGAGGACAGGAATTAAATTCTATATCACCCGGTATAAGAATTTTTATTATTATTTTTTTGGTTTATAAATTTATATATACCATACAGTTTCAGAAACAGTTGAATTTTGTCAGAGATTTCACTTCTTATCACTATAATTTAACTCCAAATGATTTTAAATTTTGTACAGTAATATAAACAAAAAGTTTTGAAACAGACTTTTTTAGTCACTAAATAAAAAAAAATATTAGACAAACAATTTAGTGTGTCACTACATGTTTTACAGAGTACACTGAAAATGAGTCCTGAGTTGGCCCTATACTTTCTAGTCGTGCATATTCTAGTGTGCCAAAAAACTGTGTTGCCTGGTGATAAAATGATTATTTAAATCAAATTTGATATTATTGTTGTAAATATCATTTTTTCACCCAAAGATTACAATACAGTGGTACCTCAGGATACGAAATTAATCCGTTCCGACACCGAGATCGTATCAGGAAAATGTCGTAAAGTGAATCATTTTTCCCCCATATGATTACGTGTAAAGCCAAATAAATCATTCCAGCACAAAAAACACACTCAAATTAAAGCTAAGTAGTACATTCAAAAATAATAATGATACTAACTATAATAAGGAAAACACTGAAAAATGCGTTTTGTAGTTGTAAATGTATAAATAACCATAATAGAATAATAATTGATTAAAAAAATGTAGTTTTATTTACACTTTACCTTTGAGGATAGACGATGGTGGAGGAAGGGAAATAATACTGAAACTTAACTTACATAACATAATGTAACAATAACTTAGAAAAGATATTTTTAAAAATTTTATTCACTGCTTTTTGTTTTCTTTCCTTCACTTCCACTGGATAGAGGTCGCTTGGTAAAATATCTATCCAAAGAGGTTTGGCTTTGCCTACTTTTTAAAATGTTTCTAAAATGACGTTACTCCGAGTGGCAATACGGCCAGTGTGAACCTTTTCAATAAAATCAGTCACTTTCTGGTAATACCTCAAGATTTCCTTTATCGAGTGAGATCCTTCCCCGATGAACAGAAGTGAATAAAAAATGGCGCTGCGAACTAATGTAACGTCATATGGTGGAGCAAAAATATGTTTGAATTTCATGTCGTATGCTGGGGTGTTCGTATCCTGAGGTACCACTGTATAAGTAACTGGATTTAAAAATGCTTAAACAAAATTCAACAGCTAAAAGTAAATTAGTAAATCTAGTGCTAATAAATAATTAATTTTTGCAATATTTCTTTTGCAGGTTCAGTTCAACATAACTGGGTAAGTATATTATTTTAAAATAATATTTTATATAAATTTTGAAAATAATAAAATTCTTACCGTAAATATACAAACAGCTTCGATCGCCTACCGAACCAGTCTACGCCCAGGTTAACAGAGACAAGAAGAAGAGTAGGCAACCCGACATGACTTCCCACTCCATGCTGCTCGATCACCCGGGTTCGGCAGCCGCGGGAGACTCGTGGGTTTAGGCGGAGCGAGCGCAGAGGCGACACCATCTGTCGAACGAGCGATGGCGACGAAAGATTCGAGGAACCCACCATTAGTGCCTCCTTGTTGGGACAGTTCGTTCTTAATGCCTATTGACGTTTTTATACAGTGCCAATATTTGTTATAAATTTCTACCAAATAAATTAATAGTTAGTTTGGTATGGTCACACACGAACTTAGCAAGTAGAATTTGTGTCAGTATTTTAGTTAATAAGCGTGGTCTCGTCGTCCGGACGACGAGATCCCCGGAACTCTATCCGTCGAATTGACGACGACTTAGACAATAAGATTAGTACTTAAGTTAGATTTAGATTTAATTTGAATATTCCAATCTCTATTCTGCCAATTCAAAGGCTCACAATTATTTATTCTCGTGATTTCGTGTTTAATGATTTATAATAGATTTTATTTGTTCTCGTCTTAAACAAAAATACTTGAATGTTTTGAAATATAAAGAATTTCTTAATCTAAAAGTAATAGTCATCCTCGAGGATCCAAAACACATTGCATGTTATTTTCATTCAGTATTGATTGATATACTTATTCTTTTTACTTAACCTTTTGGAGTTTCTCAGATTGATTTGGTTTGTGTAAAATGTGCAATAACAATTAGCAACGTGCTTTCAAGCATACAGAAGCCTCACTTCCACGACATCTTCGAGTAAGGCAGTATTTCAAAAAGACACGTACCTTTATGCGATATGTCTTTTGATGCACCGCATAACACGTACTTTGCCCACGGCCAATCTTTGGGTCGGTACTTGCAACGTCGTCAAATTTCAGAATATTTTGACGACGACCAAAAACCGTCAAACATTGTATTTCATAAAATTTTTACAATTATTTATATATTTAGTTCTTTAAAATAACTGTGATAATTTTTTTACATGATGATACAAATGCAATTCAATCAATTTTGACACCATTTTACAATTTATACACCTTACATTCCCTTGTTTTTTAAAATACGGCAAAAACCCGTCGGATTAGGTGGCCGCTTTTTGTACAGTTTTTTACATTTTAGCATTTACTATAAAGGGGGAAAAATTTTGGGGATTTTTGCAGCTAGGGTTTTCAATTCTATCAAACTGTTGTGTGTAAAATAAACAATTCTTACCATGCAACTACGGAATTATTCTTGTCCATTGCACAAGTGTATATGTTCCTATCATCGATGTAAGTTATTTGATGTATATTCGTTTTTTAAAGTTTTTTTTACATATATATATATATATTTTGTATCAATTTTGTCTTGTAAGAATGGAATTTTATTGTGAAAAATGGTGTAAAAAAATTAGATAAAAATAAAAATCTATTATAAAGATTAATTATTGGATGTGATATATTCTTACCCTATTTACAGATTATTTTTCTTAATGATACTGATGTAATTTATAGGCCATTGCATATAACAGGTCCTGATCAAATTATTAGGACAATTTTGAATTTTACTCCAATTTCTTGAATTGACTGTAATTAGTGACAATTGTAAGATCATCATTCATACGTCCATATAATGCTTAATCAAAAATCAACTTGATCGGTAATGATTAATTGAATCTAGCCCGTCCCGATGCCTCGTCTTCACTGTTGATATCGAGAAAGTTCTTAGAGGGCCTTTTTATTCATACTCGTTTGGATCAATTAGCGAGCTCATGAAATTTTTGTTAAGCAGCTCTCTTCATAAGCGGTTTTGTACTCTGACAAAACACTAACGGCATGACTACTAAACAGCCTTGCCAAGTCCTACATATTTGCAAAAAGATGACGTGAGCGACATAGCCAGAATTTTGAAATTCAATATATGGACCGATTGCCAGAAACTAACATTGATCTTTACGACGGGTGTTTAACGAGCGTGGCCTGCAATTGCACTTGCACGTTTTAATGTCTCTTGACATTTTTACCAGATATACAGGTTCTGGGGAGGATGTGCCTGTTTTAAACTTTAGACAGAACATTAGAATCATGTCACCATATTTGTTTTCATGTGAAGCCAAAACAGAAAAACCTACGCTGCAGAACTGTTTTGTTTTCCTAGAAAATACCTGCTTTGTGTAGCAGTTACTTGTTAACAACATTTACTTACAATAGTAATAATTGTTATGAAATTATATTGAATCAATCCTTTCGTAGCAATAGGCAGGGTGGCACAAAAGTCAACCAACCATTATAAATATTTGAATAAGAAAACAATTTAATCATATTTTTGTCATGTTTGCAATTTATATTCACAAGTTTGTTTTGGTTTGTATGTTCCGGGACTTTTGGGCCATCCTATATTTATGAAACAATACGCTGCAGCAAAAGTTAATAAATGAAGTAAATATGAACTGAGAAGGTAACAAATATTATGATAATTCTTTTAATGGACAATATCAAAATATTTGTTTTGCAAATTTTTTTTAAAAAAAAAAGGATATTGAAGATTCATATTTTGTATTCAAAGACAAAACAAATAACAAATTTGAACTTTACTTTCATTTAAAATACTTAAAAACAATATTAAAAAATCTTAATTTGAACATATTTAAATTTCTAAATTCATAATTTATTTATTATTTAAACATATACAAAAACATATCACATTATTATTAGAAAATAACATTATTTGGGCATAAATTATTGTTGATTTTATTATTAGAGAAATTGATCATCTCTATCTGGGTTCATTTTTCTTTTTGAGAAAAGGTTGCTTCTTAATGCAAAGACAAGAAAAAGAGAGATAAAAGTGGCTATTCGGAGGCCATCAGAAAAATGAAAAAAGACAAAAATATTCCTCGGCCATCCAGTGGGTCCCAAGCATGTTAACAGACTGCCTGGCATCGAACCGATCTGCGGAGGATGTTTCCGAGATAGCGGCTACCAGTTCTCATATAGAATTATTAAGAGATTTTTTGAAGTCGAAAGCCAACAAAGAAAAATTTGTGGCATGGCTGGCGCCACAAATTTTTCTTTGTTGGCTTTCAACAAGATATTATGCCTATCAGTGCTACAATTGCATTTGACTGAAGAAAGTTGTTTTCTTGGTACTATTTTAAGAAAACAAGTTCGTGTATAGAAATGCCCTTTAAGAAAAGAAAACAAACACTGTGAGGTAGCAAAATTTGGCATATAGAAATCCACATCAATGAGTGATATCGTTAAATAAAAATTTTAGAAAATAAAATCTTTGCATTGAATTGTTGCCATTTGGATTAATCACTATAGAGTTAATAAGTTATTTTAACTAATTCTTGTGTCTGAATGCTTCCTCTTGATACACCTGTCAGTACAACAGTGTTAAATATCAAAATTAATTATTGTTACCAATATAAATTAATAGTCAATGTATAATTGGCATAAAGTTCTGCTGAATGGTACTAATCTTTAATTTCATTCAAAATCTGAAACAGCACAAATAAAATTGTATATGGAACAACCTGGTACAAATGAGGAATAATCAATTGGCATCAGTTTTTACTTGGTACAAACACCTGGAATCGGCGTCGTCGAGACGGGTGAACTAGAAATTTTTCCCCGGGCCCTGAGAAATCTTAGGAGTCCGTAATGGTTCCTATCCCTATGAAATTAATGTTATTAAGCAGTGCTATTCATAAGTCAAAGTGTTTTGTGTGTGATCAAAGTACAGATTGACTGCACAACCACTAAACATAACTTTTTGCAAATATATACAACTGGCAAAACTGACGTGAATAAGCCAGAATTTTGAAATTTGATCTATGGACTGAGATATCTGAGGTCAAAATTCACCATGTAAAGTCCATGGGCGGATCGATATGTAGTGTGCAACCGACTTGCAACTGGCAATTAAGTGTCTGATTGCTAGAAATATATGTTGAAAATAAAAACTTTGTCGTAGAGATCATCTTTACAACGAATATTTAACATGTTTTAGACAGAATGTTAAAAGCACGTCACCATATTTGTGTTTTTGTGTGAAGCCAAAATAGAAAACGCTATGCTGCCGAGTTCAGTTTTGTTTTCCTTTGAGTTGTTCTAATTGTGTGCGCGTGTCAATTTATAACTCCAAATGAAATGAACTTGTGCGTATGGAGCAATGGCTGCCTCTGTATGCATGGGATATACAATGGAGCAGATTACGCAAAGATTTTATTTTTGTTCTACTAACTTTCTGTGTGCTATATGCCACCACAGGTATATAACACCAAGTTACTCACACAAAAATATGTTGTTATGTTGTTCAAATGTACTAATACATATACAGAATATTCTTATTTCTTATAAAAAAAAATTAGCAAATTATAAAAATATTTATTTTATATATTAAAAATGAATTATTGTAAAATAACTTCAATTTGAATTTGAATTGTCTTTTACTGGCATTTCGTCAATGTTAAAATGCTCGAGAACCGAAGACGACAAAAAAGGATTTTTTGATAGATTACTTTCTGTTATTTCACCTTCGGACAAAGAATGAGATGATAAATCTTGAACGGGCTTTACGTGAGACATGGGATCTAAAAAGAGTTTTAAATACTTTGTAGGATTTTGTAAAGTCACTTGACCTTCACTGATATCCTCAGATATTTGCTCTTGATTCTGTTCTGGTAACTCTGAACTGCTATCTGTTAGTAATAATAATAATAATAATATCTAAACAATTGTATTTTTAAAAATTAAATCTACAAGTTCTTCCGTTGAAAATAATTTAAAACTTTATAATATCAAAATTTTCTTATTGAAAATATAATTAAATATTTGTGTTATTTAATACATAATTATTAAAAATAGCATTACTCCTTTTGATAATTATTAATTTTGTCATTTCATCCATTTTAGTTTAAATTAAATTGTTTAATATATTTTCCTTTTTAGAACGACAACGAAATGTCTTGAAATGTCATTTGAAGACACTGGACTATTCGGCATCCTTTTTGTTACTTGATACATCAATCAAAACATGTTTCAGGTCCCTCTTCGATTGACTCTTGATTTGATATCACAACTTTTATTTATGTTACAATCATTCCATACATTCCAACACTACTTTTCATAGATTTTATAAAATTACATTAAAATTTCTTGAGTTAAAATGTTGTGAAATCAAATCAAGAGTCAACTGATGGGCTAAAAAGAACCCAAAATGTATTTTGACTGATGTATTAACTAACAAAAAGAATTAAATACATTCATTCATTCATTAGTTTAATTGTACATTTAAAACAAGGCACAAAGTCCTGCCCCGCAGTGAGCATTACAGGAACATATCCGTTATATAGCTCCGCCGAGTTACAGTATGCACTAATGAACAAAGCAAAGTGAAAAGAAAAATTTTAAAAAAATAAATAAATAAATAAAAACACAATGACAATAAAAGACCCGAACAAAATATGCAGCAGCTTGCTGCAGCATATAACAGATTACTTATCTGCAGGAATATTTTCGCAAATGAAGATCGCAGTAAATACAATAATTCTGACAAAGTGTTTAACAGAATTTAAAGAAATTGATCATCTCTATCTGGGTTCATTTTTCTTTTTGAGAAAAGGTTGCTTCTTAATGCAAAGACAAGAAAAAGAGAGATAAAAGTGGCTATTCGGAGGCCATCAGAAAAATGAAAAAAGACAAAAATATTCCTCGGCCATCCAGTGGGTCCCAAGCATGTTAACAGAATGCCTGGCATCGAACCGATCTGCGGAGGATGTTTCCGAGATAGCGGCTACCAGTTCTCATATAGAATTATTAAGAGATTTTTTGAAGTCGAAAGCCAACAAAGAAAAATTTGTGGCATGGCTGGCGCCACAAATTTTTCTTTGTTGGCTTTCAACAAGATATTATGCCTATCAGTGCTACAATTGCATTTGACTGAAGAAAGTTGTTTTCTTGGTACCATTTTAAGAAAACAACTTCGTGTATAGAAATGCCCTTTAAGAAAAGAGAACAAACACTGTGAGGTAGCAAAATTTGGCATATAGAAATCCACATCAATGAGTGATATCGTTAAATAAAAATTTTAGAAAATAAAATCTTTGCATTGAATTGTTGCCATTTGGATTAATCACTATAGAATTAATAAGTTATTTTAACTAATTCTTGTGTCTGAATGCTTCCTCTTGATACACCTGTCAGTACAACAGTGTTAAATATCAAAATTAATTATTGTTACCAATATAAATTAATAGTCAATGTATAATTGGCATAAAGTTCTGCTGAATGGTACTAATCTTTAATTTCATTCAAAATCTGAAACAGCACAAATAAAATTGTATATGGAACAACCTGGTACAAATGAGGAATAATCAATTGGCATCAGTTTTTACTTGGTACAAACACCTGGAATCGGCGTCGTCGAGACGG